TTTAAAGAATTAGCATTTTTTTGCAATAAATTTCGTTGGAGCTCTTTGATGAATCTTTTACACTAGGGTTGAAATAATCGCCGGAACACTCTTCGAACTCTGTGTCTGTCTCTTGGTATTCTTCAATATTTAGATTAGATAATTTAATTTAGAACTTGCAATCTTCTCCACAGAAATCCCTCCAAATTCTTCTAACAATGTCTAAGGACTTCATGTCAGAATAATTCTGGAATTCTGCTTTTTTGTTAAAGGTGATAGTTACCCCTATCCGATGATGTTGTTGGTTTGCGTGGGCGTACTTTGGTTCGCGTGTAAAGGGCCTTAGAAAGTTTGTTTACAAATGCGTTTGTGCCGTTATCAAATGTTATGCCTGATTTGTTTTAACCCTTAAAATGCTTCCAAGTCTCAGAGCCTTGACAATTATGCCTGCACGATTATTTAATAAATATTTTTTTTTTTCAAATCTGTGACCTTGGAAAATTTTTAAACTCTCACATTTTAACTATTTTTTCTCGAAATCTTGCATCACGAAGATTGTTATTAATCCCAAATGTTGAAGAAAAGTTCTATTTTCAGACTCTACACAAATTTCAAAGCTCCATAATCTTGGGAATCTATATTTTTAGTAAATAATCTTTCAGTAATTTATATTTTCCAGGTATTGGTTTATTGGTCGCGCGTATTAAATTTCATGAACCATGTTTAGTTTCACGTTGAGCGAACGTCAGTAGGTTTCACATTTTTTTTGTGTTCAACTTTGTACATCAGCGTGAGTACTAAAAGGTTAATGTTTATGTTAGTATAGACAATGGAGTGAATACAAATTTTCTTTATCCGAAACCACTATCAATTTGCTCTAATTCTCATTTGTATCAAGTTCATTCTTCTGAAACATTTTTTTAATTAAATATCTTATTCTTCACAATTCTGTCTTATAACCTATTCATCCAGATAGCATTTGGCCCAGTGACCTTAATCTCTGTCATTCAATAAATTCTAGGGCTTTGAAATCCTAAGATGTATCGAGCATAAAAAGTGGTAGAATTCGATTTATTAAAATATCTCGAAAGATCAATAAATTGTTTTGAATACATTAAGTGGCTCATTGAGTTGAATTTTTCCTCTAGCTTTAGAAAACACTTTCTGTAATTTGGCTTTTATTTTTCCCACAAATAATCACTGCAAATTTACAGTTGGTCACGTTTTAAAAAATGCGTACAATTTCGTTTTTTGTTGAATATCAACAACCGGGAAATTTTTAAGATTTGAACCAGGAAAACCGGGAAAAAACAGGGAATTTCAAAATGAAAAGTCACTGGCCACCCTGCAACTGTCCCACAAAGATTTTCTCGACTGAATTTATCATTAACGAATCGATTTGTGTACACAAATTATTGAAACAGGATTTATACAATCAAAAGAAACAGTATGAACGATTTTAGGAAGTGGCAGTTTTATTTAATGCTGATAAATATTAAGAAAAACGGGGTTTCATATTAAAACGCCAGTTTCTAATTTCAAACAATGCAATATTAAACACTAACGTAGACACACGACAGCCCCCCACACTCCCCCTATAGTGTCTACTAGAGAGGGTCTAGTATAAAAGAGGAGCGGATTCAAAACAAACTGCCTTGGCAACCTATGCCTGGGTAGTTTCTAGCAACACTGCCAATGCAATCCAGATAGGCGCTGCTTGATTGACTCTGGCTTTGACAGTTCGTTTGGCTCAAAACCAGCTAGTCCGCTCCTCTCTTATACTAGACCCTCTCTAGTGTCTACGTGTTTCATGAAAAGCCCCTAATATCATAATACGTAGTATAAAGGCGAAGACAACAAATCAAGAAGACTGGCAACTCTTCCATTTTCTCATACAAACACAGAAAAACAAAACTACCCACCGCTTGGGTTTTTTAAACGCAAATTTGAGTTATTTGACCTCTGCCCGTTTCATTTCCTCTCGCTATTGTTGTCAAAAATAGAACGAAAGATTCGACTCAACCGTCTAGTTCCGTACGAGAAGCCAAAATTGAGTAATATGCGATATACCCAAATTTGAGTTAATTGAACTTAATTTTGGGTAGAAAAAATTGAAAATAACTTAGCGATGGGTAATTTTTTTTTGCCGTGCTTAAATGCAAACTACTTTGAACCGGTTTACCCAAATTTGGCTTATCGTACGGAACATGGGAGATGAGTGAAAAGAACTTAATTTTGGGTTGTTTTGAATTTCTGTGAACGCTATGAGACAGGTACAATCGCGTCATCTGCCGCTCAAAGGTAAATGCTTCCTAGCATTCAGCAAAAATCCTCAGAAGAAGGGTTTGTGTATTTGCTCATTCTTCTATGCGTTGTTTCCACCTTCACTCAAGTGCAGAGCTACTGTATCTGTCGCTTGGATTCTGGAAAAGTTGCCAGTCTTCTTGATTTGTTGTCTTCGATAAAGGTCAATTCCGTACGGAAGAAATTTGCATGTGCATGTCAACTCTTCCAAAGTATTTCTTGAAATCATCGAAGCCCACCTTCAACGATCGTGTGACGTATTGATCTTTTGTCCACAGCATGTCAGCCTTAAATCTATGGTCGGACTCAAAATGATTAAGCACAATCTCCTTTAGGCCTACGTTCATCTTGCTAAGGAGTAGAACAAGATGCTAAGAAGTTTATGTTCTAAATAGTGCATTCATCATTAGTTTCTTGAGATGCCCATACTTTTAATGGTTTTATAGAAGTGTCAACAAATTTATTGTTGGTATAATTTAATGATGGAAAGCTATACAAATTATCCAGGATCTTCCACAACTGCGGAGAACGCAAGCACGCTCATGTAATCACAAGAGAAAAGACGTCAAACGCAACGTGACCATCCAAGCAACACTTACAGTAACAGTTCCTAGTGGTACTAACATGCGTAGAATTTCCTACTTTAGTGCAAATTTCTAGACATAACAGTCCCATTACATATTGTTCGTATAAAAATAGGCTTAACTGATTTCATTGAAGGTAATAAAGGGTGTCCACGATGAAATTGCCACACACAAAATTGATTCGCAAAATTCGAGTTTTCATCCGATTGCCATCAAATTTTCAGGGATTGAGAAATAACTATTAAACTTCATTTTACCATTTTACTCGTATTTTATTTGCAGTCCATACGCAAATGCCCGCACCTTGGCCTTAACCCCGGCCATAAGATTCTGCACAACCTGTGAATCAACCGTTTTTTGCATGTAAACCCATACTTTCTTCAGTTCCTCGACTGTCTTCACTACCTTAGGTCGTTTAAGAAGGTGCTGCTTCATAATCGCCCAGTACTTGTCGATGGGGCGGAGCTCCGGAGTGTTGGGAGGGTTGAACATTTTCGGCACGAAATTGACCTTATTGTCCGCATACCACTTCAGCACGTCCTTGGAGTAGTGGCATGAGGCCAAATCCGGCCAGAAGATTGTTGGGACGTTGTGGGCCTTCAGGAGAGGAAGCAGCCGCTTCTGGAGGCACTCTTTTATGTACACCTGTCCGTTCATCGTGTCCTGGGTCACGAAAGGTGCACTCCGCTTCCCGCACGTGCAGATGGCTGGCCAAACCAGGAATTTCTTCGCAAATTTGGACATCTTCTGAGTGCGGACATGCTCCGGAACGCTGAACTTATCCTTGGCCGTGAAAAACAGGTTGCCGGGGATCTGTTTGAAGTCGGCCTTCACATATGTTTCGTCGTCCATTCAACTTTCGTCAGCATGTTGAGGTACAACTTCCTGGCACGGGTTTTGGCGGACTTGTTCTGCTTCTCGTCGCGATTAGGGGCCTTTTGTACTTTGAACGTTCGAAGCCCAGCCTTAGTTTTGGCCTTCTGGACAAAACTTCGGCTTAGGTGCAGCTTCTTAGCCACATCCCTAACGGAGGCGTTCGGATTTCGGTTGAAGGCCCCAACTACGCGGTTGTGATTTTTGGTGTTGTACGGAATACTTTTTCCTTCACTTCTGGGCTTCCGATCGGTGGTCAACCGTTCCTCAAACCGCTTAATCACTCGCGACACCGTGGAATTCGCGATTCCCAACGTTTTAGCGATGGAACGATGCGAGAGATCCTTGTTCTCGTGATGAATGCGCAAGATTTTATCACGCACGAGCTGTTCTTTCGACTCCATTTCTGCGAGTTTTGATCACAGGACTTTGAAACTTGCAGGATGTAAATGCACTATGAACTAAATCCACCCAAATTTTCATTAAATTCTACCCAACGGTTAAAAAGTTAGAGCAATTTCATAGTGTGGCAATTTCATCGTGGACACCCTTTATCTGTAGTTTTCACTAAAACGTATTGATTCTGTTGAAATGTGAACAATGCGCTAACTTATTTTAACGTACATTTCTTTCAATGAGCAGAAATGATTCGAAACACTCTTGACAAATTTAGAACTCCGGTCTGAATTTTAGTAGGGTTAACTACCCCATTTCCGGCCTATTAAGCACAACCCGCACTTAGTCTTTCTTAATCTAGCGCAGTTTAGCACCAAACGGAATGTTATTATTACTGATGGCTTCCAAATTTATTTACCTTTTTGTATGTATCGTAAGATTTGATAAAGAGAAACCAACCGTTGAGATATTGTCAAAAGTCTAACACTGCTTCTTGACGCCAAACTCGGCCTACGGATTCTAAACCCGGCCTAACGCATTGAAACGCAAATGAATTCATTTCGGCCTATCGGTTGAAGATAAAAATTGATTCGGTCGGAGCGTTTTTTTTTGTTTTTGGGAATAATGGGTGCAAACCTTCATATACCGCGTTCTCATTGACTTCGTTCTGTAGCTTATCAACTAAAGTATCGTACCAAACGCATAATTGACTTGTTACCTCTGAAATTATGGATATACCTATTAGAAGTTTTCTGCTCGATAGGCCCAAAATAAGCGATTAGGCCGAAGTAGTTCTCTACCCTACATGATGATGACCCAAATCAGTATTTTCAAATAAACTGATCTACTTTGATCTCATTACAGAATCGTACACTCTTTCTTGAGCCGCATCAAGAAGTCAAAGTCGGACGGTCCGTTGCGAGGAACCGCGTCTCCGAAAACAATGCAATCTTTGACTGTAAGGTTCTGTCTCGAAACCATGCCGTGCTGTGGTATAGTGACGGAAAGTTCTACATCAAGGTATGTATTTATTTCGCTTTGCAGCAATGCTCAATGGAAGCTTATGATTTTCAATGCTTTGATTCTCAGGACACCGGCAGCAGCAACGGTACCTTCATCAACAATGTCCGCCTCAGTCAGACGAGCACCGAGTCGGAACCGTACGAGGTCAGCTCTGGCGACATCGTACAGTTCGGCGTGGACGTTATGGAGAATACGCGCCGCGAAACGCACGGTTGCATAGTGGCCACGCTGAAGCTCTTCTTGCCCGATGGCCGCGAGACGAAGGCCAGCCAATCGATCGGGGTCGGAGGCCCCAGCACCAAGATACCACCGGTGGATCTGTATCGGCTCAACCAGTACATACAGGAGGCCAACCAGCGGGAGCAGATCCTGGAAACGAAGCTAACGAGCCTCCAGAAAATGATCGAAGCTACGAAGTAAGATGAAGATATTTTGGAAATTGGGAACCGATTATGATTTTTTTTTTTCTTTTAGACACAACTCAGCCGTCGGATGGCAGGCCATGATTGACGAAGATCGGTTGCTGAGTCGAATCGATATGTTGGAGAAGAAGCTACAATGCTTCCAAAAGGGCATGACTGACGACAAACTACGGGAGGAACTGCTCAAGCTTCAGGATGAAAAGTATCAGTATCAAAATTCTGCGAAGGAAGCTCTTTGGAAGGTGCATCAGGAACGATTGGATGCTACCCACAAATTGGCTACGATAGAGAAAGCACTGTGCAGTAGCGAAGACGAGTGTTCACTGCTGCGGGAACAGCTCAACAAAACGCAGCTGCAGTTGCAGGTGGGTTCCACCCTGATGGATAGTCACGGTGAACACGAATAGCTTATAACCGAGAATTAAATTTGCAGGAAGTAACCGGCAGACTAGACGCACTACAGAATCAGTACGATGAGCGGGTGACGTCCAGTGAGGAACAGCTTAAGGTGAAAGAATCTGAGATAACGAGCCAGGGGCATGAAATCAACATGCTGCAGGAGAAGCTCAGTTTCTATGCGGTAAAGTTGATAATCGTTTTTGATTTTTGGAAAAGGTGAAAGCTAATGTGCGTTGAAACCGATTGTTACAGTTTTATGCATCCGATGAGGACGAGAACCAACAGCAACAGCAGCAGCAAGAATACAACAATTCGGCAATCTCTGATTGGCTGCTGAAATCTGATATTAAGAAAATGGAAGGATCTGAAGATATTATTAAGGCCATTTGTAATGATGCGGTAAGTTATGCGGAATACCAAATCCATTTGAATAGGAAATAGGAGCTGGTAGGAAATTGTCTGACATTGATTTTGAATGTTATAAAATAGTTAGGTGCTTGTGAAACCTACCTACATTTTTTTTTTGTTTTGCCTTCTGAACTACCTACATAGCTTGTAATTACAAAACATTATTCTTCAATTTATATTATCCTGTGTTTCCTTATGATATTCTTCGAGAGTTTCACCTCAATTTTTCCGAGTCCTCTATGCAATGTCAACCAATGTGCTTGGCTAACCTAAAAGACCTCCATTTACTTTGGCAGCTAGCCTTGGGCCTGTTTTTATTTCTCTGTTGAGAGTTCGCTGTCATGTGTCTGCTACTGCTGCACAATTCACGCGGATTTCAATGAACCGGTTTCATGCCCTTTAGTGGTCGGCTCACTTCCACTTACATTCTCGAATTTCTAAGGGTATCTGCTACCAGGCACAAGTTCTATACCGTAGACATGACCGAATTTCGCTCAGAACAACTTACAACATTTATTCAGGTTTCTCACCGGATGGAATGATAACGTAATTCCCCTGTACTCTTACAAACTCTGGCCTAGTCCTTTCGATTAGATTAGGATTGAAATGATTTTTTAATGAATCATTACAGGAAACCGACGCCAATGCTGACGAGAAAGAAGTAAACCTAGAGGATAATGTAATTCAGCTGCAGAAAAGGATTTTCACGTTGGAGAGGAACATTTCCCTCATGGTGGATGGCGACGAAAAATCTGAAAATGGTAAAACCAACATGTTTTGGCGAAATAACCGTTCTTAAATCTTTTTTGACATTTTCAGAAAATAACGAGCCAAACGACAATGCCAGCGTAACGTCTTCATCAACGATAAGCACGACGACGATCTCGAACAGCGGTACGTTGAACGCCAACGATAACAATGCTGTCGGTGCGGATTTGGTGGCATCTGGAGGAACCAACAACGGTGAGGAGTGTGACGGCAACCAGAATGTGAGCTCGGTTGGCGATTCGCAGCAATCGATACCGTCCGAGATTGAAACGACAACAACGACCACAACAACCTCGAACCCCGGTAGCCAGCAACCGCAGCAGCAGAAGCGATCCGGTGCAGACACCAAATCACCCTCGCAGATGAACTGCGAGTTGAGCAAGAAAGTATTGCGTCGAAATCTCAAACACGTGAAAACCGAATGTGCACTTCTGTTGCGGCAGATTAGCAAAGCGAAGGAGGATAATCGGAAGTCGGAGGAAAACATGGTGGCCAAAGGAAAATATGACGAACTGGAGGCGGAGGTAAGCCTGTTGCCATTCTACATTATCGAATTATTTTCTATTGCATATTTTTTAGCTGAGCATGCTCAAGCAGGAACTGGAGACCCGGCCAAAGTCCGAAGAGTTTGAAAAGAAGCAACAACTGTGTGAAAGTCTGACGGAGAGCTTAGCTTCGTTGAGAATAGAAACGGAAGAGCTGCGAGCGTTGAACGACCGCTGCCAAGACGAAGTGGATCGCATGGAGAAAGAGCTGCTGAAGCAAAAGAACAACGAGAACGAAAAGTTCAGTGCAATGGCTGCCCTTCATGAGCAAGCTGAGCCGATAGTTTCATCGGAATCAGCTGCGTTTGGTGGTGAAGAAGTAGCAGCAAAGGATAATCGTTCAGAGGTTAGAACGGTCAGTATCGTTGATGCAGAAACGCAAACGGAAGTCGAGGAACAGACTGTGGTTGATGAGGTGAACGATAATGACATATCGATTTGCTCCAATCTGGACGAGCTGGATGAGGACGAAGACGAGGAAGAAGACGACGACGACGATAAGACGGAAACCATCGACACGACAGAGATCTTCGTTGGCCGATATGTATCACTGAACGAGAGTGGGATTAGCGAAAGCAGTAGTCTTGGAGTAAACGATTCAGTGACCAGCAATAGCCATAGTAGCAGTAATCCTAACAGTAGCTATGTGAGTGTGACATGCAGTGAGTCGGCGACTAGTTCGTTGGAAATATCTAAACTTCTCGATACCGTCGGTGAACCTAATGGTTCCATTGCGGAGCGGATGACAAGCAGCAATCCTCTGCTGGATAGTAGCGTAGAGCAGGAACTAGAACTCATAAATCATCCGGATGTACAACGAGAAGAGGAACTGATTGCGTTCAAAGAGAAATATACTCACCTTACTCAGGAGAACATCCGGCTCAACCAGCAGCTGCAGAAGCTAAGCGACGATTTTAGTCACTTCAAGAGCAAATCGTTCATAAATCTTCTCATGTACATAGCGCCTGTCATTGTTATCGTTGGTTATATAATGTTTAATCGTGTGTCGTAAATTGACTACCTACCGTTACCTAGGAGTAGTTTCAGTTTAATTCAGTTGCAGATATTAGGAAATTTTATGAATATTTATTTCGAACCCGGCTAAAAGCAGCAGTGAAGATAGGTATATAGAAATATTATTTTTTTCTTCTCATTCTCGTACTTCTGATCCTTTTAGGATAACGCGAGTTTCCGTTTTTCGATCCCCCACATTTCGGCAAATAGCTTTAAATTATCGTTTATATCCTTGTTTTGTTCGTTTTGTAATTCTGTCTGTAGCTATTATACATATATTTATTATCAGAGAAAAAAGAAATAATGTAATAATTATTATATAGGAAAATCGAACACAAGTGTAGACGAGTTAAAAAAAAAGAATAAGATCAACAGGAAAGAATGAGGAACATTTTCTTTTCCTTTTCTGTGTGAGTAAGTAATGTATTAATCAAATAATATCGACAACTGCTAGCGGAACCACTTCTTTAAATAAGTAAACACTCAGAAACACACACACACAGTCACACATACAAACACCTTCCCGTCTTAATCCCATTGTTAGTATACTCCCGACAAGATAGTTATGCTCTTTAGCAAATCAGGATAGCTTTTATACAAACATACAGACAGAACAATATTAATGGGCACGTGCGCTTCTCTTTCCCACTTGAGGGCGCAGTGTTTACCAAAATGGCAGTGCTTCTATTGTGCAATGGCAAAACAAAACTATCAAGGTCTTCGACATTCGTACATTTGAGAAAGAAACGCTTGAAATAAAATGTAAAATGGTAAATTAATATCCGACGCGGACGAAATGTGACAAAATGAGAAAATTGTTTCCAAACGAAGCTAACTGGTGTCGTAGCTAGTAGCGTGCAAACGAAAATTACAAACAAACAAAAACACGGACGGATCGAATCTTGTGCTGAAAGCTGAACCAGCCGCATCTAACTCGACTCGAATAGAGATTACCCCCAACACGAACACGATCTGACGGAAGGTACGTACCCATACTCCGCGTAAGACAAGAGAGTACAAATATGAAGACAGACGATTGCGCGGTTATAGAAAGAAGAATAAGAAGAAGACAACTGCTCAAACTCAAACAAGAGGACACGCGAGAACCGATTTGGAAACATGACAGATAAGGACAAATAAATTTACGTACGGCGGAAGATTTCTACGCGTTTCGTTGATTCATAGAACTGTTCGCCACTCAAAATATGCCAATGACAAAAAAAAAAATGTTCTAAAAACAAAACAAACAAAAAATGGTTTAAGCCATGTTGCCGAGTGAATAAAATGCACAGAGTATCAGTTAAAGCTTGATGTGCGAAGAAGCAAAGAATGTAGGCTCGAAAAAGAGGATGGGAAAATTCGTTTTCTCGATTGATGAACTGAAGCGCGCGCTTTTGGGTAAATGAATAAAACTTGTGTACATTTATAAAAAGAAAAAGGAAACTCATGATAAAAATAGTGGTGCCGTGCGGGCATCATATCTAAATGCAAATAAACAGAAAATTAAAATCAATGCGTTCTTCATTCGGCTTTAAATCCGGAAATCTCAATGTCAAATGCCATCTCTGGATTTTCCAATTTCTCAACTGTGTAACTAAGGGAGTCCCGGTGATGAACCAGCCTATGGTTGAAAATCTCCTAAATAAAGGAAATCAATCAATCAGCCATTGGCTATCGTGTAATTTTGTGTTTTGATTTGAGTTGAAACCATAACCTTGGTTATGTTCCGTGAATCTCGCTCACTCTCTAATCGTCAATAACCCTTGCGTTTGACGTTTACACACTACCGCCATCTGTTCAGCGTACTACCCATCATAGTATGCTCAACAGATGGCGGTAGTGTTTTAGCGACGATGTTTTACATTGAAAAATATTTAATGTGTTATGCCTGTTTGTCTGTGGTGTTAGTATGTCAGCGTTGAGTCTAGAAAAACGCCTAAGTCTTTCACGCAATGCACCCGTTCGATAGTCGGGCCTAGTAGTTTGTAGTTGAAAATAATCGGTTGTTTCTTGCGTGCGAAAGTAATGACTGTACACTTAGCTGGGTTGACCACCAGTCGGTTTAGACTACACGGCGAATGAGAACAACCCAAATTTGAGTTTAGTTCACTCATAATCGCCAAAAGTCCAGGAACTAACCGATGAGTAAAATTTGTCTCATGGTTTCCTGTGGAAAACCTAAAAAAATCTGCAGGAAAATGAGGAAATTGACGAAAATTTTATTCAGTCTCGGAGTAGTACCACTGAGTGAGTGAATCCAATCTTCACTTTTCTCAAATTCGGGAATTTTTCCCTGGAAAATCCTGGAAAAACATGAGGCAAATTTACTAATCGCACTTTTGGCGATTATGAGTGAACTAAACTCAAATTTGGGTCGTTCTAATTCGCCGTGTACACCACTAAGCAAAGATGTCAATCTGATTTTGGAGAGAACGGCAGTCGACGAGTGAGCGGATACGCAGAAAAACTTTCAGATCATCTGCAAACGATAATCGTGGCCCTGTGATAACATGGTCGTCGAAGTAAAGGAAAAATACCAATGGTTCCAGATGGCTACCCTGAGGTATATCGGACTTTGCGCAGAAGCCTGCTGAGCGACAAGTACCCAAAGTTACTGTCAGTTGGCGCTCTGTGAGGTATGAACGAAACCATCTCAAAAGATTTCCACCGATCCCTAGCTATCAAACTTAGCGATCGCAATTGGGTTCTTTATTTTTGAAAAATATATCGGTTTTTATATATCATCTGAAACAGCTTCGTTTTCTGAGCACAGCCATATTTTTTTCAACCCCACGCACTTTCATCTCGATTTTTAAATCATGATTTAAAGCAAAATAATAACTTCACTGTTTGACACTAAACTGACAAACTGACAGCTCGCTCCCATACAAAGTGACACCGAGGGGCGCTAATTAGGTGATTTTGCAAATGTAATCGTACTTATTTAAAATAGTTCCAGTGTGCCAAAATTGATGAAATTTTGGGATTGGGTTCCATTTTTAATGCAGATTACGAATATGCATTTACCTCAATACCCTTGAAGAACCCAATTTCGTGGTTCAGTTTATCGAAGGCTGCCGTAAGATCTGTGTAGATAACGTCCGTTTGGGTCCGAGCAATGAAACTGTTTGTGATGTAAGACGTTAGGCACAGCAGTTTCGTAGTTGTGGAACGCCTAGTTATGAATCCGTGTTGATCTATACTTATATATTGCTTGCAATGCGCATTTAGGGACTCTATGACAACCAATTCCAAAAGTTTTGATACAGCACTCAGCGACGTGATTCCCCGGTATTTGCTTACGTCGCTTTTGGCTCCTCTTTTTATGAACAGGAAACATATCCGCAGTTTTCCAGTAAGACGGAAAGATGCCGCTGGAAAGAGAGAGCTGGAATATGCGGTGCAGTGGATCTAAAAGACAAGTGATGTTCTTTTTAAGAATAATCGATGGAACACCATCGGGTCCAACCTTAGCTGAAATCTTAAGTTTAGATGTTGCTCTAGAAATCGTATCTGTACTGGCTTCGACCATGCTGAGCGTTTGATTGACCAAAGGAACATTACTGGGCGCGGAAGTAATGAGATTAGCGGGGAGTTGCTCGTCTTCAAACACACTAGCAAATTTAGCTGAGAACAGGTTGCAAATGTCTTGTTGACTGCCAGCAGTTTCACCATTAAAAATCATGGAAGAGGGTAAGCCGACTTCCCTGCGTTGCTCATTTACGAAGGTCCAGAAGGATTTCGGGTGTGATTTTAGCCGCCGTTGAATCATCCCTTGATTGCGTTGAAAACAGAGACGACTTAACCGCTTATACCGTAAACCGCCCAAATTCTGCGCAGTTAAGGCCATCGTTCGGACATTTTGAGCCGTTTGTCTGTGATTTGGGTTGTTTTCCAGGAAACGTCCCGATAATCCTGTGAAGGAAATCGAATATCGGGAAACAAATTCCGTCCGATTGTAGCCAAGGATTTTGTTTTCCTAGTGGGGTAAAATTTGGGTGGAAAAGTGCATTCAACTTCAAGTGGTGTGCTTTTTCCGGGAAAGTGGCATTTCCACCCAAAGAGAATATGCACGTGAGTGTATATGTGCGCGCAAGGAAATGCAATCTTGCGCCTATGTTTTCCCGGGAATTTCCCAAGAAAGTATACCATATTTTTATACCAGGACATTCTGCAGACTATGCACAACATGATGGTATACATAAACATATGATTTTCGAAAATTTGTAGCATGGTTTTTCAATTTCCAAACCATGCGCCAAACATTCTTGCTGTAAATTCGTCACGGACATAGTAAAGAAGCAATCAGCAATTACGCATTTGTTTTACCACGTTGCCACATTTTCTTCGTAGGTCCACGAGTCCTTTTTCGCTAGTTTGCTCATCATATCAAATTGATCAGGAATTCTTCCGAATGTCAAAAATTATATCGAAGACCTACGACGGATCCGAAATTGAAATTGAGATCTCCATATATTCTTTCATCATATCAAACTGAACAGGAGTTCTTCAAAATCTTATCTTATCTATCGAAGACCTACGACTTATCGGGAATTGAAATCGAATCCTGCATATTCCCTCATCACATCAAATTGATCATTAATTCTTCCGAATAATCAGAAATTATATATAAAACGTATGACTAATCGGAAATTGAAAATGAGTTCTCCATATATTCCACCAACACATCAAATTGATCATAAATCCTTCTGTAGACATTCGGGCATTTAGAATATATTTCAAAATACAAGGATGGTTAAAAATTCTTCCAAACTATCAGAAGTTATATGGAATCCCTTCGATTGATTGCAAATTGAAATCAAATTCTCCATTAATTCCTTGATCATATCATATTGGAATTATCAGGAATTATTCCGAATAATAAGAAATTATATCGGAAAATGAAATCGAGTTCTCCATATGTTCCCTCATCACATCAAATTGATCAGGATTTCTTCCAAATTATCAGAATTAATATCGAACACGTATGACTAATTGGAAATTGAAATTGAGTTCTCCATATATTCCATCAACATATCAAATTAATCAGAAATCCTTCTGAAGAACTTCGGGCAGTTCGAATGTATTTCAAAATACAAGGATGATCAGGAATTATTTCGAAATTTCACCGAATTATCAGATGTTATATGGAAACCCTATTTTTTTTATGATTACTTTATTCGTACAGGCTCAATCGAATAAACTTTACAGAGCCGAGTTATCCTTTGCGTTATACATTATTACTGTCTTAAATTTAAAGTTAAAGGAACTGGACCGAGTACTCGCGGTTGTCTCGAGGTTAGTGGAGATTTACAATTTTTTGGATGGGAAAAGGGAAGAAGGAGGTTTGAAATGTGGTTTACGATACAACTATTTAATTAATCCTAAAGCATGAAATTATTTCTATTCATTTTGAAAACAAACATTGAAAAAAAAACCCACACGTACTAAATACAAACTAAACACAAGGTTAATCAAACTTACAATCTAAGGTTAATATCCTTAAAGTAAACATATGTGAGTTTCATAAACTCCAGATCGCGTCTAGCCAAAATATCCCGAACTGGAACATTAGGTTGTCTACCTCGAGCCCGAAGGGAATCATAAAAATGTGATCTGACTCCACGATACTCCGCACAAGACCAAAGGATGTGATCAGCGTCCTGGTAACCTTGTCCACATTCACAGAGATTGCTGTCTCCCAACCCCACACGGAACAAGTGAGCGTTTAGATAATAGTGATTGGACATGAGACGAGACATCACGCGTATGAAGTCTCGACTCAAGTCCAACCCTTTGAACCATGCAAACTTCGACACCTTAGGGATAATTGAATGTAGCCATCGTCCCAAGCTCCCTTCACTCCATTGATGTTGCCAGCTAACGAGCGACTGCTGACGATAAATAGAGAAAAATTCACTATAGGCGAGCTGTCGATCATAAATGTCGCCTTCCATAGCGCCCACCTTCGCAAGTGAATCCGCCTTCTCATTGCCCAAAATTGAGCAATGCGAAGGGACCCACGCGAAGGTGATGATGAAAGAGCACACGGATAAAGTACTAAGCAGTTCTCGTATTTTCAAGAGAAAATACGAGAAGTGCTTTACCGGCCTAATGGAACGGATAGCCTCGACAGAACTGAGACTATCCGTAAAAATAAAGTAGTGGTCTGGAAGAAGTGAAGCAATAGTTTCCAAAGTGTAGTGAATTGCTGCCAGTTCAGCTATAAACACAGAACAAGGAGCTTCAAGTTTTCGAGAGGCGCTATGAAATTCATTAAATACACCAAAACCAGCGGACTCCTCTATTAGAGATCGATCTGTGAAAAACGTTCTTGCAGAATCAACATGGCCAAACTTTGCAGCGTATAATGACGGAGCAATCATAGGACGATGATGCTCTGGAATTCCGCGGATTTCCTGCGTCATAGATAAATCAAAATTCACTGAATTGCCGAAATCGGAGAAGATTACACGATTGGGAATATTTCTTGAAGGGCTGACATCCTGTG